ATCGCGGGTCCCCCTCTTGTATATATCTATCATTCTAAACTACATCATCTACTGGATTTGGGGAGGGGGAGAAGACTAATACATGTCACGATCTAGTTAACTAGATGTAAAGCTTATTAACCTAATATTACAAATTAAATGTAAAGTTTGGTTCATTAAAATGAATACACATTTAATAGTTTAGCACAAATACTGCCTTTAAAATGATTTTCTTAGTTTTAGAATCTTTTCTTGCGTTTCTTTGTTTTCTGAAGTTTGGGGGCAGCTTCTCCTTAGATTCCGATGATTCTGAAGCGGTGGAACTAGTGCTTACTGAATCCTGTGAGTAGGATTCTTCTTCTTCTTCCTCCCAATCCAGTTTTAAATTCTTTTCTTTCTTCTTATATTTTGGGTTAAACATTTGCTTCATAAATTTTTCAGCTTTTGGAACAGAGTCAATTTAGTATTTCTTGTCCAGATAGTTGAAACTCAGCCCTTCTGGGAATAACCATCTATATGGTATTCCCTTTTTTTGCAGAGTGAGAGTAAGCATCCTGTAGAGTTTCCTCCGTTTTCTAACTTCAAAGGGGATGTCTTTCAAAAATTTTACCTCCTCATTCTTGATTTTTAAGGATTTTCCCATTGTTGATTTTAGGACCAGTTCTCTGGTAGATCATTTCGTGAATTTTAGATATGTTTCCCCTGGGAGTTTATTTTTCTTTATAAAATCTGGGTAAGTCCTATAGACCATGTCCATCTCTTTCAATAAATCTTCTTGTTTGTAATCCATTAGTGGGGCCAAGGCTTAGTGGCTTCTCATGCGCTTAACTTAGCTTAAAGTCTTTTTATTTCCAATTTAAAACCGCTTTTAAGATTAGTTTGAAAGAAGGGGGGGATTCTTGAGTTCCTCTCCTCCCATGCACTTAGGCACTTCCAATTACTACCAGGGTCCGATTCACTTTTTCACCTGAGCATTGCTTAACTCACAGTTTGGAGTCCTGGGAATCTTTTGGAAGCATTTTAAAGTTTTGATCGTGGCCGCTTGCTCCAGCTGCTTGCTCCGGCAGTTGTCTCTAGGCGCCATACTGGCTCCATGGCGACGGGACCTTTCGGGGAAAAGGTGAGCCTCAATTCCTTGGCTGTCGCCTTGGAATAGGCTTTCCTCAGCTCCCCAGGCTGGAGGTCTCCTACAGAGACCCCGGGGAGGTCCAGGACAAACTCGGACCTCTCCCATCAGCCGGGTCTTGGCACGTCCCCATCAGAGCTAGACGAGACACATCCGAGTGGCGAAATGCTGTTACCGGAAGTCCCAGCCACCCACGCTTCTCATAGCACTTTTTAAAATATTAAAAATCATTACACTTTAACAAGTAGCAAAGCTCTGAATTAACACTTGTACAAATAAACATTCAATGCTACCATGGTAAAATGTAGGAACTCCTAATGAAAGGGAACAGAGAGCACTCCTGCATTATAAAAAACACTTGGCTGAAGGGAGTTCTTGGCCCACCCAATTACATTCTTTCTGTGTTCATACCTTTGCCTTACAGGAGCCCGTGGACATACCAAAGAAGATCTCGAGAATGTGCTCTCCTACCCTAAAGAATTCACTTGTGTCCATGATGCAATGGGTGCATTCCGCAAATCAGAAGCCATGAAGGCAGCCTCTGCAATTTTTGTCCAACCAGGTGAGTAAATTGCCAGTTCCAAGAGGGGTAAGTTCCTCTCCCTGTGTGGTCTGTCTATGAGGCAGAACAATTCTGTTCAAATGGACTATACCACTTCAGATTTCAGGTGTATGAGTAACTTTTGTAATGCTCTCCCATGTAAAAAATTCACATGCTATGCTAGTTTCCCAGTTCCAGGGATCTATTAATGTAGGAGAATATTGAAAAAATATAATTTCCTCACCTGCAATATTTGAAGGGATACAGGACATTCTAACACCTCAGTAGGGTTGCCAGGTCTGGGCTGGAAAATACCTGGAGACTTTGGGGGTGGATCCAGGAAGAGGGCGGGGCTTGGGGAGGGGAGGGGCCTCAGCATGGGACAATGCCACAGAGTCCGCCCTTCAAAGCAGCCATTTTCTCCAGGGGAGCTGATCTCTGTCGGCTGGGGATCAGTGGTAAAAGTGGGAGATCCCCCCAGGCCCCACCTGGAGGCTGGCAACCCTACTCGCCTCTGCATTCTACCACCCCATTATTGCTTCATTCTGCTGCATGTGTAGATCAGGCCTTATTCACAAAGAGAAGTGAATTTCAAGACCACAAAAATATAGTGCAGACATTCTTCATCTTTGGATTATTGCTGAATTTCTGTAACCATTATTGAGCAGCATAATATTAGATGACTGGAATTACTCTGTAAAAAAGGTGGGGGCAGGGCCGTGTTGGTCTGAAGCAACAGAACAAATTCAGAGTCCAGCGGGGGCACCTTTAAGACCAACAAAGTTTATTCAAGGTGTGGGCTTTTGTGTGCAAGGCACACTTTGTCAGACAATGAAGTGGAATTACGGATCATAGTTGTATATATATAGAGAGGGCGGCTTGTTAAATTAGCATGCAAAATAGTGAAGGAGGTTTTTTTTAAAAAACAAAATTTTTATTCAGGATATAATCAATCGCAACCAACATTTAGTTATACATTTTATACCCATTACATCCTACCCCCCTCCCTTCCCCCCCTACATGGCTTCCCACAGTGCTACGACCTCCTGCATCTTTCTTAACCTTTCTCCTCCATCTGTTTCTTCATTACAACTGTTACAATTATATCTCTATCCTTTTGTATTATCGCAGTTCAATATTCAATAATTATTAAAGCAAAATAAGCTGTCTCTTACATCCCAATATTTTTCCAAGTAGTCTGTTAAGTCTTTCCAGTCTTTATAGAAGTCCTCTGCTTCCATATTATTAAGCTTCCGCATCATCTTGTCCATTTCAACGGAAAACAATAACTTTTTAATCCAATCTTCAACTCTCGGGACTTCAACTTGCTTCCAACATTGAGCATAGGTCATTCTGGCTGTTGTTATCATATACCACATCAATGTCCTTTTAGCCACATTGACCTCTTCCATTTTTAGCCCCAAAAGTAAAATTTCTGGTTCTTTCTTAAATTTACATTTTACAATTTTTTCCATCTCTACATAAATCTCATTCCAGAATTATTATTTTTTGCTTTTTCACAAGTCCACCACATATGATAAAACGAGCCCTCAACCTTTTTACACTTCCAACATTTGTTTGACATATTAGTATTCATATTAGCAATCTTTTTTGGCGTCATATACCACCTATACATCATCTTATAACAATTTTCTTAAAAAAAAATAATCTTATAACAATTTTCTTTTAAATCATTACATGTTATTTTTAGTGCATTTTCCCATAAATACTCCCAAGACTCCATCGTTACCTCTTTGTTCATATTTACTGCCCATTTTATCATTTGTTCTTTAACTGTCTCATCCTCAGTGTACCATTTTAACAGTAATTTATACATTTTTGAAATAGATTTTTTCCCTCCCTCAAACCACACATTCTCAATATCATTATTCTTTTTTCTAAAACCAAAGGTTTTTTTGTCTTTCCTAAACAATTCATTTATTTGTCTATATTGAAACCAACCATATTTAAACGCTAAGTCTTCTTCCATTTTCATTTCAAACGATTTTCCCACTGGTTTTAACATATCTTTATATTGTACCCAATCTTCTCCTTCATTCCTCGAAAAAGGTTTTATTGCCTCTTCCGGTACAATCCAAAGCAGTCTCTCGTCCGAGAAGTACCTTTTATATTTAGTCCATGTATCAAACAACACTCTTCTGATGAAATGATGTTTAAAGAAACCATCCATTTTCACCTTTTCATACCATAAATAAGCATGCCATCCAAACTTGCAGTCATGGCCCTCTAACGCCAACAATTTCTTATTATCCAATGTGACCCATTGCTGCAACCATGTCAAGCATACCGCCTCATGGTACAGTCTAAAATTCAGTAACTGGAATCCTCCTCTCTCTTTCGCATCACAAAGAATCTTCATTTTAATTCGTGGTTTCTTCCCAGCCCAAACAAATTTTGAAATTTCCCTCTGCCACATATTAAATATTTTCACATCTCTTACTATTGGGATTGTCTGGAATAAAAACATTAACCGCGGTAAAATATTCATTTTTACCACAGAGATTCTTCCCAACAGTGATAAGTTCAACGTATTCCATTTCTTAATGTCCTGTTGAATTTTCATCCAAAGTTTGTCGTAATTATTTTTATATAAGTCTATATTCTTCATTGTCAAATCAACTCCTAAATACTTGGTTTTATGAACTACTTCACATTGGATCAGCCTCTGCAATTCTTGCTTGTTCTTTTCCTTCATATTCTTGCACATCACCTTTGATTTGTCTTTGTTAAGATAGAAACCTGCTAAGTCCCCAAATTCATTTATTTTCTTTAACAGCAATGGTAAATTCTGTAAAGGATCTTCAGTCATAAACATCACGTCGTCAGCTCTATATTTATAAGAAAAACCCTTATTAGTTAGGCCTTTTATTGTTTTGTCTTCCTTAACTTGTTTCAACATTACCTCTAGAATCCATATAATTGTAATTTGTTTCAACATTACCTCTAGAATCCGTATAAACAGTAACGGGGACAGAATAGTGAAGGAGTTTTTAACAGATAAAAAGAATGACAAGCTGGGTTTCTGGCTGTCATCTGTTTGGGTTCAATGGGGGGGGGGACAACATAGGTAATAAATGTCAGAACCAAGAAGGGCTACGCATCCCCTATATTTTAATGTTGTTGTTTTTTAAAAAAATATTATAATAGTGATTGCAATGCAGTGCAATATTTTGTTGATCTCTGACCTAACGCTGCACCCCAGGAAAAGGATTCTGTCAGCTGACTCCATGTTTTAGTGAAGCAAAATGTTACTTTAAAAAAAATCTCTGTTTACTACTCTTAAGAGTATAATTGAATATGTAATGTAATTTGGAATGGTAGATTTAAATGTAATTCTCTATTCTGGGGACAAGAAAAATACTCTACACAGCCAAGATGCTTTAAAGTTTGCCTCCATGCTAGTAAGGAGATGGATGGGATCTAATGACTGAATTCTCACAATTTAGGGTACATCAATCTCCAGTTCTGACATATTTATTACCTATGTTGTCACCCCCCCAGTTGAACCCAAACAGATGATAGCCAGAAACCAAGCTTGTCATTCTTTTTATCTGTTAAAAAACTCCTTCACTATTTTGCATGCTAATTTAACAAGCCACAATTTATATATACAACTAGAAGCAAAGCCCATTGTATAAAAGCCTCTTCCGAGTGAGCTCCTTTGAGTGTCGGCCTCCTCTGAGCGTGCTGTGGCAAAGAGGCGAGCAGCATTACCTGGCATGTATTCTGGCTCTTCTCCATCATTGAGAGCACCACCACTGCCTTTCGGTCTCTGACTGCATGTTTTCAGGTGTGTGTGAGCGGCTGCCAGGCTTCTGCCACTACAGCGGGGCCTGCTCGGGCCGTTCTGCGTGCTCGGAGCCTTTGTCTCTCCCGGCTGAGTGGGGTCAACTCTTGACCACCACCTTGGAGAGACCTCGCACGACACTGAGGCCGAGACACTGGCCACCTCTTCTGTGGGCGGGACTCCAGCAATGCCGCGACTGGATTGGCATACCATTGGAGTGACAGGTCAGCGAGCCAAATGCTGTGGGAGCATGTGGAACATTCACCCCAAAATAGAATTATATATAAGAAGAGATTATGATCTGTAATTCCATTTCATTGTCCATTTCATTGTCTGACGAAGTATGCATGCACACAAAAGCTCACACCTTGAATAAAACTTTGTTGGTCTTAAAGGTGCCACTAGATTCTAACTTTGTTCTGTAGAAAATAGTTTGAGGGAAGGAAATCAGGTGTTCATTGTGAAAGAAGGAAAATCCAGTCCAGTATACCCCTGTGAAAGATCCCAAAGTTGTAGTATGAGCGAAGGGCTGTGTGGCAGTGTGCTCTTCTCAAGATGGATGAATGGGATGTTGTGTTCTTCTTTCCTACATTATAATGTTCATAGAATTTCTTTTGGTAATAATCGTGTGAGCAGCAGCACCTGTATATGGAACCTCTTCATCAGTGGAACAGGATCTTAAACTTAGAACAGGTGTTATAAAGAGATTTTAACTGTTGGAAGGTTCGTGGAGAACAAATTGCCTAACGTTTCCAATATATGTCGATGGACTCACATTCTAGCTGTATCTGAAGAAGTGAGCGGTGACACACGAAAGCTCATCCCCTACCAAAAATTTTGTTAGTCTTTAAGGTGCTACTAGACTCTTACTCTTTTCTATTTGTCCATATAGACACTCACATGATCTTTTAAAAAATTGAATCCATGAGCTCAAAACATTAAGCCTAAACTGGCTGTGTTCGTCAACAACCTATTTATATGTTTCAAAATTATGATTGAATTATAAAATATATATTATAAAATATCTCCTTTTCTTTTATTCATTTTTCATCTCATCTATGCTGCACCAACATCTTTAAATACTATGAAGAATAAGGGAGTAATACAAGTGGTGTTATTTCTCCATTGAACGTGTGGATGCATCATGGGAGTAAATAGGGGGAGTTACACCTGATACACAGAAGTAAGGTTATGAGGGAGACTTTGGGGCATAATAAGGTCATAGATTCTCAGATATCATATTAGTAGGTGCAAGACAAGTGTCATGTGAATGGTTTTAACAGCCTTTGGGAGTGTATACCTAGCATGACAGTTGCTGTTCCCTGTAGTTTTGTAGTAAGTCACACACCTTTAATCCTCTAACTGTATTTGTATTTTCATTAGCCAATATGGGTCCCCATTGAAGAGAAAAATGGGAAAGAGATGTTTATTGCCAAGGAAACAATTATAATGTATCATTGGTGCTGTTATTATCTCTTATGTTAACTTCTTCGGGGGAGCGTGTTCATAACTACTGCATTGTAATCAGCGTTATAATTTTGTCATTTAATATTCCAAGAAGACTACATGTGACCAGTGGGGCAGTGGGAATATTGATGGTGGTATCAAGTTTATGGGAAATTACTTCTCAACATTTGTGGAGCGCTTTTCCTAGGTTTTCAATATACTTCACTTATATCTCAATAATCCTTACAACAACTCTTTAAATTACGAGAATACTGTCACTACAATATAGACTGGGGGCTGAGAGAGAATGGGGCTGGTGTAATTTAAACAGTAAATGCTTGTCTGAACTAAAATTATAAACAGAGATTTCCATATTCTCCATTCATGCTCAATTACAGAAGTTAATTTCCGATATGGGGTAACATTAATGATGACTGATATGCATATGATACTGTTCTTGTACCACAGATAATCTACAAACCCTCATGACCACAGAAAATCTTTCAGGTCCTTTTCAGTAGTTACAGTTATTAATATAATTGCCTGGCTCTTCATTTGGATTAGGTGAAACCTGTCAAGATAATCCACAGAACAAGGAATATGACTTTCCAGTGTTTCAGATTGTCTCTCCTTGGCAGGTGTCAACTGGAACAGTGATTTCTATCGGCTGTCACAAAAATTCTATCGCAGTGTGCTGCGGAGCCTGACTAATGACAGTGCCCATGATGTAAATGAAATCAATGACTGGGTGAGAAGAAATACTGAGCACAAGATCAAAAGGCTCTTGGATCAGCTGGATTCAGATGTCCAGATGGTGCTCGTCAATGCTGTCTACTTCCACTGTAAGTGGCACGTTCTCAAACCTCCCAGCCCCACAGATACAAAGCTGACCTTGGCCTTGAAGCCCTGCATGGCAGGCGACCTTGGCAGTGCCAATGCAGAGCCTTGATCCTCCCCCCCCTTTGTCCTTTGTAAAGTCTCTTCCCCCAATTATTCATTATCCCCTTTCCCAGCTATCCTTCATTCCCCTCCCACATGTTTCATTCTCATACAATCTAAGCCTGTCCTCCCAAAGGTTCATAGCCCCCAGTGTGCCTCCCCCGACTCTGTTGTTTCCCCCACCCACCCCATCTGAATCCCCATGATGCTTCCCCACAATGCTTGACTACTGCTTCCTGGATAGCCTGCCAGCCCCATAGACTCCGTTTCATTTTCTCCATGTCTGAACTCCCCACTAAAGACCCGTTCATGGCCTGTCCCGTATTCTTAAGTTGCATCCCTAGCCACCTTATTTGGGAGGGGTGGGGATTTCAGTGGGAAAACCAATCATGGGTCAGTCCCTCTCAGCTCTGCAGTCTCAATCAAATCCCCCCACCTTTGTAGATGCTTTGAAACATGAAAAAAGGGAAATCTGATCACAGATTTCCCATTTAATGTACAGTTAGGCCATTAGACTGTGAACGCAACAAGTACGAAGCGTTATTTCTTTTTATTTTCTTTTTCAAAAATGTGCAGCTCAGTTTAATAAGCCTTTCTAGGCTGTATGTATAAATAACTTCTCTCTGATCCAAGTTCTTTATCTTTCCAGCCAAGTGGAAGACCATATTTAGGAGAAAAGACACAATAAAGGAAACATTCTACCGTCCAGGCCTCTCTCCCTCCAAGGTGTTCATGATGACCAGTAAGAAGTACCCATTGGCTTCCTTCACTGACCACACCTTGCAGGCCAAGGTAATACTCATGACCCAGGGTTGATGGATACTGTTAGGTGTCCCTACACTATCCCAGGCAGCACTCCTGGGCACCAGAAACTTGTGCTTGTTTGTTTTTTAGTTCCTTTATCTACAGTTGTTCCAGTAGAGAATACGTGGAGGCAGATGGGCCGTGCGATCCTAAGGGTGACTGGCACTGCGGCTGGCAGCCACCGGTGTAACTAGTCTGCTTCCCAAAGGGTTGGGTTAGTGAGTGGCTGCCAGGTAAAAGAGCTCGTAGCTGGTTTTTTGAGGCTGCAACTGCATCCGCGTCCCCAGCAACTGCACGGTAGCATCCCATCCAGGTGCTGAGTTGCACCTGAGGCTGTGGGGGGGCGGGAGAAAGGAGACTGACGAGGCGCCGCATCAGCCGAACAGCCCCCTCCCACCAACCCCCACTGCGGCTCCCTGGTCGTACCAACCCACCACGGATCCGCAGGACTGGTGCTCCCTGAGCTGAGGCGCTGGACAGAAGCGCCCGCCCCGTCGGCCTCTGACCCGAACTGTCCTCCGGCCCCTCCGGCCCTGGGGGAGGGGCCAGGCGCGGCTCTGGCACATCTCCTCTGAGGAGGGTAGAGCAGGCAACACTTAATTCCCCTGTGGCTGTGGGCAGCCCGGGCGGAAGGAGGGATTGTGGCCTGGGTGGAAGGAGGGAGGGCGGTTGGGACTCGCATCGGGGGGGGGGGAGAGAGAAGGAGGAGGAGGCGGCAGCTGAAGGCAGCTGTGGGCAGGGCGCACGGGGGTGGGGGGCGAGGAGGAGGGTGGCACAGTTAGCTCTACAGCCACTTCCTCCCGCGTCTCCTCTGCGCCGGCCGGAGCAAATTTACTTGCCAGTCGATCCTCCCCAGCAGAGCCAAGGAGGTGGTGGTGGTCACCCAGTCGGGGAGAGGACTTTTGGTGGGGGGGGCTTTTGGCGGAGGGGGCCAGTGCCGTTTGGCACCCCTAAGGGCCAGTGCGCTGAGCGAGCCAGCTCTGGGCTGGGCCATTATGGACAGGGCAGGCAGAACCAATCAGGGGCTGGCAGGCCCAGGGGGGCCTAGGCCAGTGCCTGTCACAGCCCAAGGGCAAGGAGGGGCATGGCCAGGGATGCTGGGCCATGTCTGCAGCACATCTCCCACCCCTTTAAAGAGACCAAGTCCTGTCACGAGCCCCCGGGTAGCTGACAGAGATGGCAAGGGCCCCACCAATCCCCCTACAGCAGCAGAGACCTCAAGCGGGCCCTTGACCCACACAGTACAAAGGGCGCCCTCACCTTGGGAGGGACACAGGGAGACGTACAGGAGAATTTGTGCAGTCATGGTGTCCTCTGCTCAGTGGCAACAGTTCCCAGCAGCCCGGCCATGCAACCGAGGACATCACTAGGTACAGGCAGTGGAACGGGAGTGGGTTGCCGGGGAGGGATGTCACGCAGGAATCCATAGCAGTGCTGGCAGGTCCTCCAGCAGCCTCTTGGTCCATCCCCTGGCCTCCCTCGTGACAGCAAGCAGCTCCTCCGAGGGCCTGGCAGCCACAAGTTACACAAGCTGGCCCTTCTATGCACGGGTGGTGGCCCCTGGAGAAAGCAGCAGATCTCCGGCCACTCTCACTCGATCACCGCCCACGGGGGGGTGGGCTAAGCTGGCCATGGGCTCCTGAGAGAAGGGCCCAGAGTCCTCCGCTTTGCCAGGAGCACCGGCAGCCACCCCACACCACCCTCCCCTCCTGTTCCCCACTCCCCCCCCCCACCTTGCAAAGACATTTGAGTCTGCCCACTGCGTGGCCTCCCCCTCAGCGGCTGGCCTGAGGGTCTCTGTGGTGCCTCGTGTCCAGAGGACGACTGACCTGGCCGCCACTTGTCTCACGAGAGTCCGGACATGGAAATGGTCCGTGGAAGGGCCCTGGGGTGGGGTGGGGGGGGACAGAGAATGGAGCCTCAGCCCATGTGGACACGGTCCCATCCCACTCCAGGGCCACAACCCCCCTCCCCCCACCCCGGCTCAGCAGCTGGGGCCTGTCTGTCACTGAACTCCATCTGCTCCTGGCTCAGCACAAGGGGACAGAGCCCGGGGCCATCAGGCTCTGAGGTCTCTGCCAGGGGAGAGGGGGTGGCCACACCGGTGAAGGCCCCCTTCTGCCTGGGCCACGGGGCTGGTTCCTGGCCCCACAAGGCACTGACAGCCCTGTGCTGCCCCCTTTGTTGGCGGCCTCACGATGACATCACCACTTTGAGAATTGCCTACAGGGGGAAGGGCAGGGGTGTCAGCTAGTATCAGGGGGGCTGGGGCAGCTGGGGGCGGCAGGGTGAGTAGCGTCCCCTTGCGGCGATGAGGGGGCAGCAGGTCCCCCCTCGCTCATCACACAACACCCACTAGCACACTGGTATCACCACCGCCTGTATGACGGCCCCGGGCCTCAGCTCCGGGAAGACCCTCCCCCACTGGCCCTCTGGGCCACGAGGGCACACGTGCACTTCCAAGCAGGGCTGAACGGACCGTTCCAGCGCTTCAGGGCTGACCTCTGCATCTGGGTGGCCTGTCCCGGGGCAGAGACCTGCTCCGTCACCCTGGGGCAAAAGGCACGGTGGTGGTGGGGGGGGGGGTCGAGCTGGCCCTGGTGGTTGCAAGAGGGCCCTGTCCACACGTTCCGCCACCACCGGCCTGAACAGCAATATGCCTTCTCAGTCCTGGCCCAGTCAGGCTGGCAGTGGCCGTCACCACAGCCAGATGCTGCCTCCTCAGCCGTGCCGCCCAGACACAGGGAAATGTCCTGGCCCTTTAACAGAGGCTTCATATGCGGCAATAGGCAGGTGAAGCTTTTCGTGGCATGGAAATAAATAACATCATTTATACACTCATCTAGGCTACTTGGCAAACCTATCAGGAGCTCACCTTGTGTGTAATTAATGTATAAGCAACATGGACCTTTGTTCGGCCTTGCTGGGGGGGGGGTAGTATTGTGCCATAGAGGTTCAGATGACAAGGATTGTCACTTCTGGGATTCACACTGGAAGTGACATCGCTGGGTTGGCAACCATAACATCAACGTTCTCAGCGGGGCTACTGTTAATCTGCCACACAACACAATGGTGATCCAGCAGCAAAAAAGCAATGACAAAAGAACCACAGCTAGGTACAAGAAAGTAAACAATGGCTGCTGTCATGCACACTAAATAATCCACATTCAAACTAGATTTTTACTGTGTGAACTGGCAAAATCCAGTTGGAAAGTGCATTGAAAGTGGATTATTTAGTGTGTGTAACCACAGTCAATGTATAATAATCCATTCTTAATACAAAGGGAAAGTCTACAATAAAATATAAACCAGTTTCAATGCACTTTAACTGGAGGAGGAGAATCATAGAATCATAGAATGTTAGAGTTGGAAGGGACCTTGCAGGTCATCTAGTCCACCCCCCTGCACTCTGCAGGAGCATAGCCGAAAGATAGCCCTACAACATACCCGAAAGATGGCCGTCCGGCCTCCCCTTGAAAACGTCCAGCGAAGGAGCATCCACCCCCTCCCGAGGCAGACTGTTCCACTGCTCAACCACTCTTACAGTTAGGAAGTTTCCCCTGATATTTAGCCGGTAACGACTCCCTTGTAATTTCCACCCATTAGATCTAGTCTTGCAATCTGGAGCAAGAGAGAATAGATCTGCTCCATCTTCTACATGACATCCCTTCAAATACTTGAAGACTGCAATCATGTCCCCTCTAAGCCTTCTCTTTCCTGGGCTAAACATACCCAACTCTTTCAGCCTTTCCTCATAAGACTTGGATTCCAACCCTCTCACCAACCTGGTTGCCCTCTTCTGGACACGCTCGAGTTTGTCAACATCCTTCCTAAAATGGGGTGCCCAGAACTGGACACAGTACTCCAGGTGAGGCCTGACCATAGCAGAATAGAGCGGAACTACCACCTCCCGTGATCTGGACACAATGCTTCTGTTAATGCATCCTAAGATTGCATTTGCTTTCTTCACAGTCACATCGCACTGCAGGCTCAGGTTTAGCTTGTGATCAACCAGAACACCCAGATCCCTTTCACATGTGCTGCTGTCAAGCAGAGTCCCTCCCATTCTATCTCTGTGCATTTCATTTTTTTCTTTTTTTTTAAGCCCACGGAGGGGATTTTTTATTATTTTTATATATCTACAATACCACAGAAAATAATAGGGATGGGGTACTATATATTGGGGAAAAGGAAAGAAACCAACTAATACCTAAAAACCCAAGAGATCCTCAAAAAAGCTTAGTTACAGTAAATCAAAACTCGTTTAAGTCAATATGAATTGAGTCAAGTTTTTTCACACCTTTTCACTTTTCTTTAACAAATTTAACTGCTTAGAAACCATACCCCCCATCATCACATTTTTACATCATTTACTTCAAGGCACATTTCAGAGTCCTTCAGCCTCTATTTCTCTTTTCCTCGTCTCTTCCTCAGTTTATAGGGACTTTTTGGAGCAGAAGCCCCTTGCTTCGCCAGAGAGTCTTCTCCAGAAGATTCCGTTTCCAATTCGCCACTCGAGCTGTTGTCATCACTTTTTCCTTCTTCCTCTCCCTTTCCCAGCTGAATCTTTAGGAATTCTTTGGCTTTAAACACAGAGTCAATTCTTTCTTTTTTATCTTTCATCTTAAAAGCCACTCCTTCTGGAAATAACCATTTGTATCCAATTGAGTTTGTCTGAAGATAAGTCACCAGCTCTTTGTACTTCTTTCTCCGTTGTCTTATGTCAAATGGAATATCCTTCAACATTCTGATCTTGGTTTCCCCCATTTTCAGGGGTGTTCCAGAAACTGCTTTCAGGATTGCATCCCTTATGTGCCTCTTCGAGAATCTCACCACAATCTCCCCAGGCAGATTATTCTTTTTTATATAGCCTGAATATGATCTATAGACCACATCCATTTCGTTTAGTAACAATTCCGCCATCATTTCTGTCACTGGGGCCAGCAATTCACTCATTAGCTCCTTGAGATTCTCTCCCGGTTTTTCCG